GCCTTACTTTGTGGGGCCGTGGGGAGCGATCCGGCAGTGATGGTTTACAGAAACGTCCAATATTAAGGATTTGTCTTGCTAAATCTTCCATCCAGAAGGCACTCGAATAAAAATAGAGGTGGTCAGCGGTGTTGGCCAGCATCAGGCTGGGTGGATTTGGGCTAACCAAGGCACACCTGGGCTTTTATTTATTATATTTTTTTTAAATTTTATTTTTAAAAAAAATTTATTATGTTATGTTAATCACCATACATAACATATTAGTTTTTGATGAAGTGTTCCGTGATTCATTGTTTGCATATAACACCCAGCGCTCCATGCAGAACGTGCCCTCCTTAATACCCATCACCGGGCTAACCCATCCCCCCACCCCCCTCCCCTCTAGAACCCTCAGTTTGTTTCTCAGGGTCCATAGTCTCTCATGGTTCATCTCCCCCTCCAATTTCCCCCGCTTCATTTTACCCTTCCTACTATCTTCTTCTTCTTCTTCTTCTTTTTTTTTTTTTAACATACAATGTATTATTTGTTTCAGAGGTACAGGTCTGTGATTCATCAATCTTACTATAGCAGCAATGTCCACAATAGCCAAACTATGGAAAGAGCCAAAATGTCCATCACCAGATGAATGGATAAAGAAGATGTGGTATACACACACACACACACACACACACACACACACACACACACACACACAGGAATATTATGCAGCCATCAAAAAAATGAAACCTTGCCCTTTGCAACGACCTGGATAGAACTAGAGGGTATTATGCTGAGCGAAATAAGTCAATCAGAGAAAGACAAGTATCATATGATCTCACTGATAGGAGGATTTCTTAATCTCAGGAAACACCTGGGCTTTTAAATTCCTTCATGCTTGTTTCTGTGTGTACCGCCACAGGCTGTAGGGAGGGAGGATTGATAAGGGGCCAAGGGCACACAGTTGAGATAACTTACTGCGTTTATCCAGTGAGCTTGCCCCTATCGGGTCTTGCCAGGATAGCAAATGTGCAGGCTGTTGTGACCTTAGCCTTCCTCCGGGGTCCAGCTCACCTCTCTCTGCTTTCAGCTGGGACAGCTGAAACTCCTGTCATATTCGCAATGGTAACAGGGTGCAGCGTTACTGGTTTCTGGTTTGGCATTCATTTGAATCAGTGCCTGTGCTAAAACCCAGCTCGTAGATGCCTGGAGTTGCATCTGGTGGGAGCTTCAGGCTCTAGTTTGGATAGACAGGTTTCCTAAGTGTATATATTCCGTTGACCCGGGCAAATTGCATCATGAATTTAGGAGACCCCTCATCCCCTGCAGGTTTTTGTTCTAGTGTCCCCTTGTCACAGAAGCCTTCCGCAGCCACTTGATGCAGAATAGCACGCCTCTTGCCCATGAGTCCTTCTCCTGGCCAGATGTACCACCACTTGGAATACGTGTGTCCATTTATTTGTTCTTGCACCAAAATGTGCACTCTATGAGAGCAAGGGCTTTGCCCGCTCTGTTTACTGTGGTATCTTTAGCACCTCGAACAGCATGGGAACTGTCATATGTGTCTAGTAGAAATCTGTGGAATAAATGCAAGACGAAAGAGGCTTGCTGAAGCGGTATGCTACCAGTCTATCTATCAAAGGGCCTTGTTCCCAGGAGAAAGCAAGGTGCCCTTTGTAGTTGCTTTCTAATTCCTAATTTCTTCGAGCAAACATTCATCAAGCACTTGGAGCCAGGTGTGCAAGATCACAGCCCTGCTCTCCCAGGGTTCTCGGACTGGTGGCGGATGGACATTTGCATTAAATCCCTTCTTTAAGATGTAACTCTGGTATCAGCCCTCCTGGGAGCCCTTCTTGAACACTCTTCTTCCCCAAAGCAAGGTTAGGTGCCATTCTTCCCATTGGCATAGCATGCCCTGCAGAGCTTGACCATGGCCCACATGTAAAGCAGACAAGTACCGTACAGTGTGCTTTCTGTTTACCCTTACGCACTCCTTAAGAGCAAGGATTGCACTTTGCTCTTTTCTGAGTAGAATAGCTGACATATAGAGCACTCAGTAAGTAGGAGGTATCCTTGTGATTACCGCGGGTACTGTGTGCATTCAGTAACCAGCATTCATATAGCTGTGTATGTGTGTAATCTCACTTAAAATATTCTGAAGCTATATAAGGCTTAGGAACAGCTCTGTGTTGTTCTGTAATATGATATAATGTTGTCTTGTGCAATATTCCCCGTTTCAGGCTCTCCTTGTGTTCTGGTGATGCAGTGATCATTTAGACTGGTGTGGGATCTTTACCAAGAGTTCTTAGGGTTCCTAGATGCAGGCTGGGATCCTGATGTACTTTGCAAATCATTCTCTATGTGCAGATGTCATGGACTCCTATGAGCCTGGAGCATTTGTTTCATTTCAAGGGGGGCTAAGGAAGTCATAGAAAGCCTCTCAATAAATACATGTGGATTCATGGCCGTTTGGCACTGCCCCTTTGATGTGGCTTTTGATTTGGGGTTGCAAGGACATTTTGTCATGACCTGAAAATCAAACCAAGGATCGTGCTCCACAGGCCCCCAAGCACACTGCTGGACTGAGTATATGCATGTACCTAGTATCTGTGTGTTTTTACTTTGACATGACTGTTTTGATGCCTGACACTTTCATTATATCCTATGGAACTTGCCAGAACGTTTGGTGTAAATACTTGTTAGTCTCACTTAAATACCAGCCACGGGCCCGAGTCTAACTTCAGTGGCAAAATGGCTTCGAATGAAGCAGAAGGCAGGGGATTACAATCTTAAGGGTATGCCGAGTGATACCAAAGGCTGCCTGAGAGATCCCTTCTCTAATTCAGAGACACACATGCACACATGGCCTCCCTTCTTTTTTGGCCATTTCTTGGTCTAGAGCTTCAGATGACTGGCTGGAGACGTGTTTAAAAATATCAAAAGATCCCAATGGAAATGTAGTCTGTCCATGTTAAAAAAGATCGTTTTGATCATTTTCCCCTGCTGTGTCGTCAAAAGAGCCTTCCTGTCTGTTTTGCTTGGTGATTAGAGGAAGCGGGGTTTGTTGCTTGCTGACCAGGTTGGCCCTCATCTGCTTGCGGCGAGCAGGCCTGCCCTACTTTCTTTACAGACAGTCTGCGTGATCGTTAGCCACACACATTATCAGCTAATCAGAGGTTGCCACAAAACGAACCAGATGAGTAGATAATTAGGTCACCAAGGGAGACCAAGATGCTTATATTTTGGACTCATATTTTCAGTTGGGTATTCTAACCAGACCACGAAACATCATTCCTAATTTCATAGTATTTTGGTAGCAAGTATATTAAGCAGCCTGTTATGAGAAAGTAGTTGTGTTTGGGTCCCTGATCTTCAGTCTGAGACTCTGGAAGCTAAGCTTGGTGTCTTGTTGGAATGGTGGTGCAAATAGGTAGGTCCCCTGAGTTACATGTCACCCTTGTCATAAACTTGATGAAGACTATGTGTCTCCATGCTCCCTGCATGAAGGCACCACCTGCACAGGTGTCATTCTAGGCCGCTAACATACTTTATCACGTTCATTTCCACAAGCGAAGCATCAAGGCCTTCTTTCTCCATACCACGCAGCTAGCAAGTGAATCCCAGGTTCCCTCTTTCCAAAACCCACGCTATTTCTATTATAACCAGTGATTCCAAACCACTGGCCTGCGGATTGATATTGGTTACAAAGAAGGCTTTTCCGGTCTGTGGTGAGAAAGTCTGGGTAAGGTTAACACCCTCCCATCTTGAAGGCGTTGCCGTTTATTCAGAGACTGTGACCTGTCTTTCTAGGTGTTAAAGACTGCAAAACATTTGTAATCACATGATGGTGATTGGAAATGGCAGCTAACAAAAGTGTCCTAAGTTGTCAAAGTAAAAAAAAAAAAAAAAAGGCCTTTCTATGTCAATCTCCAAGCTTAAATTTGGAAATCTTATTGGCCTGGCAAATGGCAAAGCTGGAAAAAGAGGTGGTGTATTTATTACCCAACAAGGGTTTCACTGCAGACTCTCCCCACAGCTTGGGTTCCCATGGGGTTTATCTGGAAAAGGGCTAGGCTGTATTGAGGGATGGAGGTGATCATGTGCTTCTTAAAGCCATCCTTCTTTGACGCTGAGTGGCATGACTCGGGCAGCTTAACAGAGTCCTGATAATGCAGATGACCTTTTAAAAACCACAGTAGGTTGAATTAAAAAACAAACAAACAAACTGGGTAAACCATCCTTGCCAAAAGAGAGGCCAAGCTTGGCCTACCCACATTTATGACTTTTCCATGACCAGGATGGGGAAAGCTTGAGCTCAGAGGCATTTTAATGTAGCATGACTTAGGTCATGACTCTTCTGATCTTAGGTCATTCAGAAGTCACCTTTTTGCCATTGAGACAAGAATGAAAGAGCTCTGGTTTTAGAGGCAGACATATCTGGGTTTATATCTCCATTTCTTTTAGACTTGTGACCCTGAGCAAGTTTACTTTCTGGAAAATGGGGCAGGGATTCCTGCCTCCCAGAGTTACCATGGTAGGCAACTCTTAGGAAAAAACCTCCCCACTTCTTGTGGTATGCCTTTTTTTTTTTTTAAGATTTTATTTATTTCAGACAGAGAGATAGAGAAGAGGCGGGACAGAGAGAGAGGGAGAAGCAGGCTCCCTGCTAAGCAGGGAGCCCGATGCGGGGCTCCATCCCAGGACCCTGGGATCATGACATGAGCCGAAGGCAGACGCTTAACGACTGAGCCACCCAGGCATCCTGATCTTTACCATGATGATCCAAGATGGTAGGGATAGACGTGCCTGGCACATGGATGTTCAGTGTGTCCTGGTGTCCTGCTTACAGATAAACTGGAATTCAGAGTACCCTGAGTTGCTCTGGTTTTTATTTTCCTACCATTGGTTCCAGATACCCCACTGTGCCTGGGGGAGGCCTGTTCACCTGCTCTTGCCTGAGCGCCTCCAACTGTATCTGGGCGGCACCCAGCAGGCTCTAACCACTCCTTGTGCTCCTATCGCAGTGCCAACAACATGCCCAAGCAGGTGGAGGTACGAATGCACGACAGCCATCTCAGCTCAGAGGAACCGAAGCAGCGGCATCTAGGCTTACGTCTGTGTGATAAGCTGGGGAAGAATCTCCTGCTCACACTGACTGTGTTCGGTAGGTGACAGGTGCCGCCCCTCCTCCCTGGCTCTCTCCGGGCTCTTTGGGGAAGCTGGGTCCCACAGCCAGCCCTCCCACTGGAAGGAAGCCTCGTGTCCTCCCTAAGGCCTCCTTTGCCCAGGCATGGCTGCCTTGATGATAAATCTTCCCCTCACCTGCCCCAGCCATGCATTTTCTTCCTTGGGATTCTAGTCGATCTTACAACTTCCTGTGAGTGTGTTAACATGCAGATTCCTGGCCCTGCACATGGAGACTTTGGGCCATCTGCAGTGAGGTCTTGGAATCTGCATCATAGCAAAGCTTCTAGGTGATTCCTAAGCAGATGGTCGGCATACCACATTTAGAGGAATACGCGTCTGAAGATAGAGGCAGCAGGTGCTGAAAACCCCACTAAGAGGGCTCCAGAGGTCTAGCCTACAAATACCTCATTACCTTCGATTAGCTTAGCACATTAGCTAATGAGGTCAGGGTGGAAGAGGCTTGTTCAGAAGCCTTGATCTGCTCTGGTTCCATCTTCAAAGTCTGATTCCTTTGCTTCAGACCTCACCTAGGCTGTGGTTGTCCTTTGGTGTGACTGGTGACACAATCTTGGCCTTAGGTTTTCAACCAGGGTTTATTGGAAATGGGGCAAATTGCCGGGTCTTGTAATGACAACCACACCATTTCCTTTCTTGAGCCCTCTAGGCAACGCACAGAAGCAATGAACAACTCCTCACCTCCAACCCTTTCCCCACTCAGCTCCCTGGCTTCTCCTCCTTTGAGTCCGTCATCTTGGACATCAGTGGACCAGGGTCAGAACTGCGGGCTTGCCACAGTTCAGTTCACTTAATGAAAGAAGACAGAGGTGTGGTAGGGGTTTCCAAAGCTTACTTTGGAATAAAGAAATTTCACTCATCGTAGGTCATCAAGAAGTATGTTTTTCTCCGGTAGAAGTAAAAAAAGATCAGGGTTTTGGCCACAGCCCTCCCTGCACATCCCTGGAGTTAACACCATAGCCCATGGACCCAGGAACTTCCGCCCTTCCTCTTAGCCAGTGGTGCTATGACCTGATTTGTGGTTTCATAAAAGAATCTTTTATGTTGGCTGCCTGTTTGCTGATACCCAGTTTGTCTTGTGGAATCCCCGAGTATGCAAAGTGAAAGGCTCCTGCCAGCAACTCTGCCCAAATTGTTTCCTCCCAAATTATATACTTTTAGAGACGTCCTGTAATCTCCCATAAAAGTCTCCCACAAAAGCAAGTCTCAAGATTATGTAAGAGAACATAGAAGTCAAGGACAAAACTTTTTGAGAATGAGCCATGGGGAAATTGTTGGGAGCCAAAGAAAATAGAAGGAAAAAGGAAACTCACACTAGCTTGGTAAATCAAATGTTCCTTTTATCTGGTATGCAGTTAGAAAGAGAAGAAATACATTAAGCACCGTGCCACTTGCCAGGCGTAGGCTGGGGAGTAGGAAGCAATACTTGGTACTATGGATTATTTCTGCTGACAATCTCTGATGGTACAAGTGAACAGTATCCTCAAAGAAGTTAGTCAAGTCACCATATATCCTCCTCATAAAGCCTTGAGAAGGCTCTCCTTGGCCCTCCCAGAGCTGCTTGTTAGATTAGTCGGAGGTACACCAATATTCTCTCACCAGTCATTAAAATCAGCTTTACTTATCTGATGGTATTTTCGTTACATGTTATTCATCATCATATAATGGGGAGGTATGAGAAAGGTCAATGTCACTGAACCCCTAGAGCTATTCATTTGACTCAGGCAAAACAGAAATTCAGATATTTCCCCCTCTTCCTTCTAGGTGTCATCCTGGGGGCAGTGTGTGGAGGGCTTCTTCGCTTGGCATCTCCTCTCCACCCTGATGTGGTCATGTTAATAGCCTTCCCAGGGGATATACTCATGAGGATGCTAAAAATGCTCATCCTCCCTCTCATCATCTCCAGCTTAATCACAGGTAAGACCACCTCTCTGGAGCCTGGCCCACAGTGGATCATACTCTTGCTCTGGTTTGTGGGTTGACCATCGAATCTCAATCTGGTTGAATGAATGAATGTGATTGTCTGTGTCATTTTATTTCAGAGCCTTGGTTGTCGTGTCTCTCAGATGGGGATTATCAATCCTAAAAAAGTATTCCATCTGTTGGTCAGTCCGACCATCTGTCTGTCTAGCAATAAAAGATGAAAAGGAAACACATGTTAAAAGTGATGATAAACAATAGAGATTTTAATTTTGAATGTATACTTTTCTCATTTCCCAAATTATACCTTGTTCGGATCCTGATAAATAAAAGTAACAGATAGAAAAGGAAATTTTCTCTTAACTATTTAACTGGGTATAGAGGGAAGTGGGTATGAAAAACAAAATAAAGCCTAGATATGAAACCCTTTGAGGTTTTTGGAAGAAGAGCTCCCTTAATGTGTAGATCATGTTCACTTGTTTTGGGCTGAAAGAATTGTTTTATTTGAAAGAATTTGTTTGCTTCTATGGGCTTATACTGGCAGTTTTTTCCTTACCAAATGATATTGCTCAAATAGGGTATAAATTGTAGTTTAGAGACTGGAGCTCTGAGTTAAGGATGAAAGCTAGGCTTTGATTGATATTTGGGTGCCATCGGGATGACCTTAAGAAAGCTGTCCCTCTGGACTCTCTCCCTTATAAAGGAAGTGAGGCTCTGGAAACACCAAGAGATTCAGATGCTAAACCAGGTTGTTCTAGAGTCTCATCTCTGGTTGACCAGTGAGCCCGGTGAATGCAAGGTCTCATCATTCAGCCCCAGACTGAGCGACACTGTACTTTCACCTTAAAGGCTCATTTGCAAGCCAGAGACAATGTTCTCCATGCCCGCTTAACAGTCCTTAGACTGGGCAAGCTGGCCAGGAAACTGAACATTTTTTGGCCAGAATCCGACTTTAGGTTGTAAGGAGAAGTGGCTCATATATGGGTCAGCTCAATTCAGGAAAGCTTACACCAATGACTTCCTCCCCCACAGCAAGTGCTACAATGTCTCTGTCTAGTAAAAGCAGAAACTGAAACCAGGAAGTAGAAAAATTGAAGAAACAACTGGGAAAAAACCCAGTGAAGGTAGGAGTTTTTGTGACTTGGCTTGGAATTTCCTCTAACAATCACAGGACCTCCTACAGTATAGACAAAGTCCCACCTTTTTGTTCTCCAGCCCCTGCACTAGGTTGGAAAATGTGGGTCTCCACCATGCTTCACCTTGGAGGAATGAGGGCTGTGCTAGATCACTATGCTAGACTCTTGATATCAGTCACCAGGCCTACCAGCTTCTCATTTTTTAAGTGAGGACATTTAAAAAAAAAAAAAAAGAAGAAGTAGAAACCAGCAGGTACTGGCACCATCACTTCATAAAGAAAGGATATCTTAATACCAAATAAGTGGGAAGGACATCATCTCAGAATTAAAAATGGAATATATTCAACTTGAACTCACTATTGTGGACTGACGAAAAGTAGTCACTGATCAGTTTATAAACTCTGAACAAGCAAGATCAGGTTTATAAACTCTGAACAAGAGATCATCAACTCTCCCCAGGTCTCTAGAATCTAAAAAAAAAAAAAAAAAAAAATAGAACTGTAAACTTTAGGATTGAAATCTTCAGTAGGAGGAGGTTTAATCAACCATGAATGCATCTGAGTAATACAAAGCCATGTTCTAGGTATGCAGGGATGGGGAGTTAACAGAGGCATCACAGGATTAATCCTTCCAATGTCTTTTCAATCCAGGGTTGTCGGGCCTGGATGCTAAAGCCAGTGGGCGCTTGGGCACGAGAGCCATGGTCTATTACATGTCTACAACCATCATTGCTGCAGTGCTGGGGGTCATCTTGGTCTTGGCTATCCACCCGGGGAACCCCAAACTCAAGAAGCAGCTGGGGCCCGGGAAGAAGAATGATGAGGTGTCCAGCCTGGATGCCTTCCTGGACCTTATTCGAAATCTCTTTCCTGAAAACCTGGTCCAAGCCTGTTTTCAACAGGTAACCCAAAGTTCCTATGCTCTTGCCCTCCGACCTCCTAAGTTATCAGGATAATAACTTGGAAAGTGTTTCAGTGAACTAGCCCTGGGGAGCAGTTTTCTTATATTTAATTATCTCTCTCTTGAGCTTGTATGAGATGATTTGGAGCAGGATTTGGGGATTAAAGTCGTGGGGTTGTTTTGTTTTGTTTTTGTTTTTTTCATTATTAACCTTCCTTTTTTTTTCCCCCCAGCTCACTTAGCATCTCTTTGCTCTGGGATTCCCCTTTCTTGCCTTTTTTTTTTTTTTCCTGTTACCTCTTTCCTTGTTTTTTGGTTCCCCTCTGTGTGCTGTCCAAGGGCACATTTTTATCGCTTTTGCCCACAACCCTCTAGAGTGCCCAGGGAGTCTCAGTATTGGTAGTATAACAAAACCTCATGGGGTAGATTTAAAAAATACACATGCCCTACAGAATCAGAATCTCTAGTGTGGGCCCAGGGAATGGGTATTTTCAAATTGTGGAAGTAATACATGAGGGTTATAAAAAGTTTAAACAGTGTAGATGCCCCTAAGGAGTCAAGTCCTCACTTCCCTTCCCTAGAACTAGTCATGTTGGGAATTTTGTTTCCTTCCACATATATAGTATGCATGTGTGCATAATCTTTTTTTAAAGATTTATTTATTTATTTTAGAGCAAGAGAGAACAGGAGAGAGTGTGCGAGCACGGATCGGGGCAGAGGGGGAGAGAGACCCCGGCAGACTCTGTGCTCAGCTCGGGGCCCGATGTGGGGCTCAGTCTCACAACCCTGAGATCATGACCTGAGCCCAGACCAAGAGTCAGATGCTCAACCAACTGCCCCACATGTGTGCATAATCTTAAAAAAAGAAAAAAAAGTTCAACCCAAGGGGTATTGCATTACATGTACCGCATTGCACTTGTTTTTTATTTAACAGGGCTCCGGCATCATCTCTCTCTTTTCATGATTGTGTAGTATATCTAAAAAATAAATTCTTGGACGCTAATGTCTTCCCAAAGCGTTTTGTATTTCAGATTTGCTGGATGTTGCAAAATGGCTCTATAAAATTTGTATTAATGTATACTCCTACCAACTGCATACAGGCAGATCAATTTTTTATAAAACCTTATGATTTTAAAAAATGGATGATTCTAATGAGTGGAACCACTGAGAGAGCTGTCGAGGCCCTACTTACCAGCCCGTTGTCTAGACCCAAGGTCAGGTTAGGTTAGAATATACTCCAGTTTCCACTAGTCTGCGTAGGAAGTCACCTAGAACCAAAGAACCTGCTCCAGCCATTTGCAGGGCATCACAGAAGAATGAACTTAGGAAACAGACTGCCTGGAGGAAAAGTTTGCATTCCCAGCTGTCCCCAAAATGCTGTTGCCCACCACTGCTGAGCCCGAATGACTCTGGGTTAGGATGTGTTCTCTGATTTCCAGTGCCACTTTGCTGGCTCTTATAGCATGGAGTCATGTTAAAGAAAAGCATTTCACGGAAAAAGAAGATGTGTGTGTGTGTGTGTGTATACACACACACACACACACACACACACACATACACAATGGAATATTACTCAGCCATCAAAAAGAATGAGATCTCGCCATTTACAACAACATGGATGGACCCAGAGGGTATGATGCCAAGTGAAATCAGTCAGTCAGAGAAAGACAAATACTATATGATTTCACTTGTAGAGGCAACCTAAAAGCCAGGACAAATGAATAAACAACAAACAAGCAAAAAGCAGAAGCAATCTTATAAATACAGAGAACAAACCAATGGTTGGCAGATGGAAGGGGGTGGGGGATAGGCAAAACAGGCAAAGGGAGGTGGGAGACACAGGCTTTCAGCGATGGAATGAGCAAGTCACAGGGAAGAAAGGCACAGCGGAGGGAATATAGTCAATGCTACTGTGGCAGTGTTGGGTGGAGACGGAGGGCAGCTTCACTTGGGGTGAGTAGGGCGTAATGTATCGACTTGTCAGATCACTATGTTGTATGCCTGGAATTAATGTAATCTTGTGGGTCAGCTATACTTCAGTAAAAAAATAAAAATAAAATAAAATAAAACAAAAAACAATAAAGAGCAAAACAAAAAGTCTCCATTAAAAATAATAAAAATAAAAGAAACCATTGCAACCGGGGAAGTTGGTTGGGGAGGGAAGAGAGCAGGCCGGGGAGGGGTGCTTCCTGGTGCTCCCTCGGTAGAGCGTGCTTGCCCCCCTTGCTAGCCCACTTGAAAGATGCATTCGCCTGCTTTGGGGAGATGGACACAACCGGGTGTCCAGTCTACTGTTAATATTTTGAAAAGAGCACTCTGGAAGTATAGCTGTGAACCGGGGAGCGGGGGGGGGAACAGGGCCTCCTTCTTGGGCCCCATCGTGCCCATGCTCCGTACAAGGAGACCCCTTCATCCCAGTCAGCGAGGCAGGACTAAAGCAGGCAGGCACCTGGAGCCGTTGCTCTGGTCTGTGGTGAGCCGTGCTCACACATGTGTTGCCGTGCTCACACTCGGTGACCTGTCTGGTCAAAGGGCAGTCTCGGATGGAGCTGCCCATGGCAGGGCCACTGGGGGCTGAGCCATTCCCTGCCCTGCCCCCACCCTGGACCCACCCCTCCGCTGGCAACATTCATGAGGTGTGAACCCTTAGTCCCCCAGCGAAGCCCAGGGTCATTGTCCCTTTGAGTTAGGACAATCAGAATCTTATTTTTTTAAAATTTTTTTTATTTTAAAGATTTTATTTATTTATTTGATGGAGAGAGACACAACGAGAGAGGGAACACAAGCAGGGGGAGTGGGAGAGGGAGAAGCAGGCTCCCCACTGAGCAGGGAGCCCGATGCGGCGCTCGATCCCAGGGCCCTGGGATCATGACCTGAGCCAAAGGCAGATGCTTAACCAACTGAGCCCTCCAGGTGCCCCAGAATCTTATTTTTTTTTTTAAGATTTATTTATTTATTTTAGAGAGCGAGAGATAGAGAACAGGAGCAGGAGGGGCAGAGGGAGAGGGAAAGGGAATCTCAAGCAGACTCCCACGCTGAGAGGGGGCACCGACACGTGGCTCCATCTCACGATCGTGAGATCATGACCTGAGCCTAAACCCAGTGTCGGATGCTCAACTGTCTGTGCCACTCAGGTGCCCCTGTGTAGATCTTTTATTTACTTCAGGGTAAGGGAGCATGTGGATTCCTTAAGCTGGACTCCAGGCAGCCTAGAGGAAAGGGGTCTTAAACTAGGAGCAATCCATGGGCTCAGGGGGACCTTGAAGACGGCTCAGAGAGAAGGAATCCTTGTACAGTGACATCGCATTACCAGAGAGAGAAGGTGCCCAGGAGATGCCTTCTGTGCCCTTGGGATGCAGCTGAACGTGACAAGAAGCCTGTCTTGGCTGGGGGGTAGGGGGGCCTCACGACCAGAGTTAGACACAGGGATGGAAGGAGGAAGGTGCATGTCCCCAGAGCATAGGCTGCCTTTCCCCAGGTGGCAGGCCCTGTGTCTTACAGAGCAGGGAGGTGAACCAGGCTGAGGTTTCCAGGAGAGCAACGGGCGGTAAGGTGTGGCCTGACCACATGCCATCAAACCCAGTGATAGGGACCACAAGGGTCTTCTCTTCTGGGGAATCCAGTGATCTGTGTTTGCTCGTCCATTCCGTATTTTTGAGCACCTCCTGGGTGCCAGGCTTTCCACGGTGCACCGGACACCACAGGCAATGAGACAGTCTGGGTCCCCGCCCAAGGGAACTTACTTACATTCCAGGGGTGGGGGACACAGACCAGAACAAACATCAGGTAAATACACAAGCTATTTAAAAAATTAAGGTAAGTGCACTCTGAGCGCTGGAGGAAGGATGATAGGCTCTGCAGTAACTGGGAGAGACACCTGAGCTGAAACAGTGAGGGACGGGCTGAGCTGGGCGGAGGACTGGCGGCGGAGGCCTGCCAAGCCGAGGTGACTCCAGAGAGAAGGAAGGCCAATGTGTGGGAGGTAGAGTGAGCTGGGGGAAGCAAAGTCCAGCTCAGGCAGGACCTGGTAGGCCAGGGTCAGACTCGGGTACTTATTCTAAGAGAGTTTTAGGCAGGGAGACAACTGTTTTTCTATTTTCTGAATGTAGACAGAGCTCTGGGTAGCTAGACATACCTGGTGTTTCCAGGTAGACTAGAAGGGGGGTGAGAATGGCAGTGAGCAGGCTTTTGTAGGTTCTAAGGTGAGAGACCCTGGTGGCTTGGACTCAGGTAGACTGGAGTTGGCACCTAGATGGCGTTGTCCAACCCAAATAGGCTCAGATCAAGAGCTCAGGCGGAAACCAGGCCTGTGTTCCAGTATCCCTATCAACTTGCCTGCAACTTAAGCCACTGGCCCGTGCTGTTTGGAAGCTGATTTTGGAGTCAAACATTACTCATTTTGAATCCTGCTTCAGCAACTAGCTAGCTATCTGCCCTGCAGTTAGTTAGCCCTGTGAGCCTTGAGGAGCTACGGTTGACAGAAGAGATGATAGATGTCAGACATGAAGCACCTGGCTGCCCACCTGATCCCGAGAGCCACCATTTATTTACCACCATGGCCATTAGTCTTTTGAACTCGAGCCTTGGCTTCTTTAGCATTCCCAGGACAGGTCCACAGCTGGCTTCTGGTCCTCCCATTTCCCCTGGGAGCATGACTCTGTTGCTCACAGAAGCTTCCCTTCTGATCATTCCTGTGTTCTTTCTTCATGCCAATGTTGCCCAGACCAAGAGGGCCATGAGCTTCCTGTTCTCCCCTTGCACACTCAGCCTGAGCTGCCTCCCTCCCTGCACAGGTGCAGGTGGTCAGGCTAGAACAGAGCACCTCCTCCTTCTCTCCCACTTTGGATAGCTGGTCAGTTTGGCATTGCTCACTGTTAGGCTCAGGCACAGTGGATTGGATCCATGGAGCTTAGGGAGTGGAAGAATTCAGTGGTACTCAGGCCCTCTGAGTTCAAGTCCCAGCTCTGACAAGAGCTCTGTGTTGAGTGACAAGTCATTTGAGTTCCCCATGCCTCCTCTTCCATATCTATTCAGGGTTCAGCCATCTGTTGCCTACTACGTACCAGCACTGACATTCTAGGATTCTGCATGAGTTCTATTTTAATGCCCTTGGAGGTATTGTTTCTCTGGGCTCCGATGTGAGTTTTCACAGCACTGTGCTTGCAGGGTGCCTGGCACCTTTAAAAATAGAATGGATGTCACAGATGTCGAGGAATAGCATGAGAGGTTCTTAGGAGGCCATTTGCACAGAGGTGCTTAGGAAACATTGAGCAAGGCTTGGTATCACTGCCTAGAAGGAGTGGGGTCTTCTTACATTTTGTTCTGAAGTATAAGCCAACATCCCTGTCATGGCAGCTGTTGGCAGCTAGTACATCTGGTGACCGGATGGAGATGTACAGCAGAGCATGACTCTGGAAGGAGCCCAAATGAGAGTCAGTCTGTGAAGACTCTGCCAGACAGGTACCAGGCAGAAAGGAGCAAAACAGGTGCACCATGAAGCATCACCTGATCCCTGCCAAGACCCTCACTCTCCTACTCTTGACCAGATCCTGGGCCCTTCCCAAGAGGCAAGAAGGGTCGTCCAACTGGTTTTGCAGTTATGAAGAGCCTCCATGTTGGATGCTGGATGTTGTCTCCAAGATGCAGGGCTACCATCATGGGAATAAAAGAAGTAGACGTCTGTGCCCCACCTTGAAGTTTGTGTCCCGTTACTGGATCACACTTCATTACAAATGAAAGTTATAAATCCTGTAATTATCATGTGATGAGGACAATCGTTTCCCACTGTATTATGTAATAAAACACCACTTTGTTAAACACAGACATATCAAATATTCCCCAACTTTTGTAACCTTGTTTTGACATTTCTTAATTATTTTGTTAACATACTGGGAACTTTTAAAAACATGTAAGTGGTTGGGCTTTGGGCGACCAAACCTCTCATGTTTCTGTTTTCCCCCACTCCATTAGATTCAAACGGTGACCAAGAAAGTCCTGGCGACACCTCCGTCAGACGAGGAGGGCAATGCCACCAACGCTGTCATCTCCTTGTTGAACGAGACTGTGATGGAGGCGCCTGAGGAAGCGAAGGTGGTTATCAAGAAGGGCCTGGAGTTCAAGGACGGCATGAATGTCTTAGGTAGGCAACCTGGTGTACACCTCAGTGGGGGGATGATGGCCTGCCCTCCCCGCCTCTCCGCGCCTCAGCAGCACTGCCTCCCTTCTCAGAAAACCCGTCGCTGCTGTTCTGTAGGTGAGCAGCAGGCTCTCTGTAGAGAGCGACCTGAGGGTCACGAAGACCGGTAGTTGGGAGATTAAGCAAGAGGGAGAGAGTGAGCAGGACCACGAGGGGACATGGCAGCAAGGGGTCAGTTATGGGAAAAGAGAGCAGACTAACATTCACTGGGCACATTGCCTGACTCTGTGTGGTTGGCAAGTCTCTTTCTCTGTCCATTTCGTGAAGTTACACATCCAATTTTTTCGTTTTTTAAGCTTTTATTTTATTTTAATTTTTGAGCTGCCCTTGGGTGTTAATGCTGTGCTCGGCACAGGGGCAGCCCACCCTGGCTTTCACAATCTTTAAACAAATACAATGCTGTCAGGAGTGTAAAGTGTTGGTGTTGGTGCCAAAAAGGAGCTTATCCAAAGGAGATTGCCTTGTTTAATTTTTTGGGATTCCAATGAGCCCTTTTCCCCTAGCATGGAGCCTTCCTAGCCTTCCATGGTTTTGGGTCTTTGGCTCAGCAGGTAGACCAGGTTTGGATCCTTTATGGACCACTCACTGGTGACCTGACCATGGCCAAGTTGCTCCACTTCTCAAGCTTTATTTGTAAAGTGGGGATGGATTGCATTTCTCTTGTAGATCATTCTGAGTATTAAATGAGATTGCACCTGTGGGGCACAGTGGCCTATGCTGCGTGCTCTGTTGGTGCAAGCTACGGTCGCTATCCAAGGTGGATGGAGAGTGGGGGAGCTCAATAAGAAAACAGCCCGCAGGGGATGCAGACTCCCATCATGTGGGTGACTCCCGTTTGCTCAGTTTACTCCCCATCCACTCCCTGGGGCCACTCTCCAACATACCCCACACCCACTGTTACACTGATGTCCCCTACACAAGAAAGAAGGACATTTGGCCCTAAGCTCGGAGAAACAAGGAAGCTGGGCAGGAGAAATAGATGGATCCATGCAAGCAAGGTTTCTAAGGACTTGAGGGAGAGCTGGTTAGAAGGGGATCAGCTCAGTGGCCCTTCCACTTTGCCATCTAGGAGATCAAATGCCCTTGTCTCCTTAGTAGGGTTGTCGGATAAAGTACTGGATGCCCAGTTAAGGGTGAATTCCAGATGAACAACAAATGATTTTTTTTAGTGTAGGGTATGTCCCAAATATTGCACGGGATGTACTTATGCTAAAATGAAATATATTCATTGTTTATCTGAAATTCACATTTTAACTGGGTATCCTGTTTGTTTGTTTGTTTGTTTGTTTGTTCTAAACTTGATAACCTGACACCTACCTTACACAGAATGATTGAGAGAAAGAGGCAGAGAAGAAGGATTGTCGAGGCACTGAAAAGCAGAAGCTTCAGTGAGGGATCTTCTTAGTTTGGCCTGGCAGGAAACAGGTTGAGTGAGTGAGAGGGTGGGAGGAGATAAGCTGACTGGTTTGGCAGGCAATGGAAGATCAATAGATATTGTTGACAGTCAGTGTGAGGTGACAGGAGGAAGGAGAGAGGACAAAGCGGGTCAGTTCCTCTGGGGAGAGCTTGTAAATATCCTCAGCATCCACCCCGGATCTGCCCCTCTTCACCCACTGCCCAGATATGTGTGAACTTTCAGGACCTTCCCAACCATACTCTGTCTCCGAAGCCCCAGGGCCAAAGTGAGCCCACAGTCTTCTACATACTCTGGAGGAGGTTAAGCACATGAAGAATGAGGCCAAAACTTTGGGGTGAATCATTCAGAAGACTTTCATGGTCCGTTTCTGGATTCTCAGTGGATTCTGGGAAGTCATGTTGACCCTGGGCTGCACTGGGAGTTTCAACACAGCTCACTACTCTCACAGCCCCAATGACCAAGTATAAGGGGGCTTTGTTCAAGCAAAATGCCCCAGTTCCAGTAAGTGGTTGTAGTGAGGCATCATTGACAGAGGGAAATGACATGGAAGCTGGACATGGGTGGGCAGCTGCAGACTGAGCTCTGGAAAGCCAAAGGAAGTTAGACTGTTGAGAAACTTCCCATGTACAAATCCCTTGGTCTTCTAAGGGTGGAGAAGGTGACTTCCCCCCCCCCATCCCCACCCGCCCCACCGCCTTTGGAAAGTCCCAATGATCAAGTATTGCAATAAGTGAAGATAAAACTTTGGTTCTGGCCTCTTTCTTCTTGAAGCACTCATTTTTCTCCCCAGTAACCTCCAAACTGCTTCTGAGCTCTACTGTAACCCCAACCATTAAATCAATTCCCGGAAGAGTTTGCTCCTTCCAGCGTCTCTCTCTCGTAGTGATAGATGTAGCCCAGTTTCTGCTGACTCCGCAAGGGGATCTTTTTTATGCCAGCTCTTTGAGACTTTGAGACCTTGAGAGTTTTCTCTTAAAATCTCCAAATGGAATTAACTAGGTAATACTAGCTCTTCTCAGCCAGAATGTTCACAGATTATTTCTCACCACACACCTAGCAAACTCCTCTCCATGGACTTGAGAGAAGGGCTTGGGAATAGCCCGAATTTGGTTCCATACATGATGGCAGAGCTAGGCCACTCTTCCCTGGTCACTAATTTTCACTAAGCCTCTGTCTCTGTGGCCAATAATTCACTTGTAAGGCACTTGCCAGTCTTTCTGGCTGAGAGCTGAAAAGGAGAAATATTCACTACCAGGGATTAACAATCCTGAGTGCAGGTGCTGGGTTCTTTTTGCCAAAGAGAGAGAGGATCCAGTGAAGGATAGTTGAACAATCTGAGTTGGTGTGGGGAAGTGAGTGGTTTTTGGGGAGCTAGGAAAAGGGTAAAGTTAGAGGTTAAGAGAGAAAGAATTTCTCCCTAAAAGAATCAAATCATCATGCTATAATTTGCCCAGAATAACTCAAGACTCTAGCCATAACTAGACACAGTAGGAAACCGGATGTACTAGAGAGGACTGGCAACTAGGCCTGCCAAACTGGGATAGGGCAGGTGTAGGGAAGAGGAAGGAAGGAGAGGGTATAGACGATGGGCCATACTGCATTTCAGAGAAAATGTCAGATGGGCAAGCAAGGTCCTGTGGCCAGGGGCACAGTAGCATTGATTGACAGTTCATGCAAGTAGTCAGAATTGGAGTCCCAGGATTGACAATCATGGGTCAGGAGTGGGGTAGGGGCACATAGTGATTGGTAATCAGAAATCCAGACAGGCAGCAATGGGGATGTCTGTAAGCCATGTAGTGGCTCAGTCCCTGGGTGGGGCTCGTGAGACTTCAGGCTGAGGGTGAGACTCTGAGGACAAGAATGGGAAGGAATAGTAGGGGGAGAGGATCTTCTGGGGAAAGAGAAGCCAAGCCCAGCTTGGAGGAGCCAAGGTATATGGCAGCTTTCCAGGACAGGTACTCAGATGGAGGGAATGAGGCAAAGACAACACAGAGATAAGACCCAAGTTTGGGTGTTAGAGCTGGTTCAGGACCGAGTGCAGTTTGATGGAGACAGAGCTCCTCACATCCTTCCAGCCTGGGGATAGGATTGACCCTAGAGACTGTGGTGGGGCTGGATTTAGACGGAAGTCCAGTGATGTCAAGTGAAGGGAGAAGGGGGCTGAGGGGCTAGAAAGTTACAAAGTCTATATTCTGCCTTTATGATACTGCAAAAAAAAAAATGCTGTAAAAAAGGAAGCATTCTTACCATTTTGACCATGAAAAGAATGATGAAGAATTAATAAATAATAGGTTAAATCCAAATGAATTGGGTCAGTTGGGGTTTCCCAACTGTTTTGGATTTCTCATTGCTTTCCATTTGACTTCAGCGTTGTTCCTCCTTCTCACGTTAGGCATATAACAGTAGAAAAATACTTTTATGCTCAGGATTTTCCTGCAGTGAAACATACCAGCTATGCATGAATTTGGGTTAACACCAAACTAACATAGACATAACCCTGGCAGAGATTTTATTGGCTAATTGGTCTCTGCAGCTCTAATGTGGGCTCCAAAGTTTGCACGATAATCCCCAAGTCCCAACAAGCCTTCCTTCGTTAATCTATGTACTATGGAATCTGCTTACCCAAGACTTCATAAGTGAGGAGGAGAGAGAAGAGAGTCCTTTTGAGTTTGGAATGAAACGGAATTCATTTTCTTCAAGGCACTAACACCGCTGACAGTTCAACTTGCTCTTGTGGGAAATGTTAAGGGATGCCATAATTATCCGGGAGAAAGGTATTTTCCATGTGAAATCAAATGCCTAATTCACAGGGCAACAGGCAAGTGAGAAGGTGGCTCCCTGTGTCGGGAATGGTGAAAGAGGAAGAAACACATATTTTGTAATCTGTCCTTCTGTGTAATGTGATTCACCCAACAGGTCTGATAGGGTTTTTCATTGCTTTTGGCATCGCCATGGGGAAGATGGGAGAGCAGGCCAAGCTGATGGTGGAATTCTTCAACATTTTGAATGAGATTGTAATGAAGTTAGTGATCATGATCATGTGGTAAGTGGTCTTGTTCTTACTTCAGCGTGTTGGGGGGGGGTGGTCCAAAGGGGGGATCCTCGGAAGATAACGGAGCCTTCCTAGCAGGAGAGAGTGGGTGGCCATGGACCAAGCAAAGGGCTCTCCAGAAAGACTTTGAGAAAGGGATGAAAATCTCTTTTTGGGAGCTTCCCCTGGAAAATGGGTTGGAAAACTATGGCCCATCCTCAGACCAGATCCTTTCTGCTACTCATTGAGTGGCCTACAAGAGTGGGTTTTATATTTTTATGTTGCTGGACAAAAAATCAAAAGAGTAATAATATTTCACAGACATGAAAATAATATGAAATTCACATTCAGGGCCCATAGATGAAGTTTTATTGGCACACAGCCACTCCCATTCATTCACATATTGTCTAGGGTTGCTTTGTGCTAAATGGCAGAGTTGAGTAGTTCTGACCAAGACTGTGTAGCCTGCAAAGACTGAAGTGTTTACTATTTGACCCTTCACATAAAAAGTTTGCCAATTCCTGCCAGTGGGAACACAAAAACAACAACAAAAATTAAAAAGAGGGACAAGCGGGAAAAATCAACTAGTAATACTGAAGCTGAGCAGTACCAGGAAATGCTAAGTCCAAGATCCCAGGAATGATATGGCCTGACCCAGGGTGTGTGGAAGGACCGCTACTCTGATATTCTCGTGTCCAAAAGCAATGTATCGGAGACTCGTGACTCAGACAGAAGCAAAAAGAGGCAGTTTTCAGGCCATGCAAGTGAAAATGAAATCACAGAGGACACATTAAAATTATAAGTACTCTTAGAAATGGGGCTACACCCTCTAGTTGTATAGAATTGAAGACTGTGGTCCAGAGTCACTAAATCTTGATTTTATAACAATATCATGATCATTATAATAATAAAAGCTATCAATTATTGATTTCCCTTTATCTGTGAAGAGCCATGATAATTGCTTAATACTTATCTGTTATAATCCCAGTCATCCTGCAAAGATGGCATCGTGCTCTCATTTTCCAGAAAAGGCAACTAAAGTGTATTGAGTTGAATTAATTTGCTTAAGATTATATACCTAGGGGGGAGAAGAGCTGGAGTTTCCATTGATTTTGCAATCCTTGATGCATAGGTGGGTGGCTTTTTTGTTTGAATTATCTAAGCAATACCGTCTCTACTTCAATTCCTGTGTGTTTATGGTCAGTGGTTCTGAACTCTAGGACAGCCCAGGAGAGCATGAGTGTCCATTCCTTCATAAAGGAAACTGTACCACCTTCAGAACCTTCCAGTGCCCCATATCTCTCAAATGGAAAGATTTTACATGCGTCTGTTCCAGAGCTCTATGATGGTCTGGTATGCCTGCCTAGAAAAAAAGAAAACCATTATTAGACCAAACGACATCTGTGTCCTATCTGTCACAGGAATTCTGGACTACAAATTCCCTGTCTCTGTGTGCTCCCATCCTACCCACCTTCCCCAGTCCTCGTCTGATCTTCTTTTACTTCTATGTGGTGCCTTCCACTAAAATTCTACCTTCTTTTTCTCTTCTTCCTTTCCTTGGCCCCTACTCCCACTTTACAAGGGCAAAAATCTGTTTTTGACTTATTTTTTATTTCCATTTTATTTTTATTTTATTGTGATGTGCTGGTAGAAATTCTTCCTCAAACCACAGGAGTGAGTAGGCTAGCTGAAGGGTCTCAGATCCAGAAGATGTCCCTCATGATTTCATGAACCATATTTACTAGACTTGGCTTGTTCAGATCATTTCTTTGTTGTACTTTTAAAACATGGATAGGATGCTGGTAACAGGCAATCCTAGGTTTCTGAATATTTCTTTTTTATGAAAATTTAAAGTCACACACAATGTGATGCTCTAAAAAATATGTTTAGAGTCTTTTAGATCCATCTGTGCTTGCTGAGAATTTAATAGATGATGATGCATAAAGTAGCATATGCCTATTGGTAGTATACATTAGGATCTGCCCTGGACTCCTAGAATTTTTAGCAGAATGAGCATCCTTGCTCTAAAAATGCAGTTCATATTTCTGTATTATGCCAATGATGTGGGCAATGTCATTTCTACTGAGCCCATGAAGAAAAGGAATCTAGGAGATGAGATGAATCATGGGATGAAGGGTGTGCTCACTTCTCCACAGAGATGAAGGGTGTGGATCAAGGTTTCCTATTCATTGAAACCAAAACTCCTAAAGATTTAGCATCAAATCCCAGGAGATACAGAGCAATTGTGAGTCAGGGATAAGGCCTATAGAAGGATTTCTGACAGCCGTTCAGTTACCTCATCTAGACAGTCAGGAGGGTGTTCTATGACATGAGATGTCATTTCTACACATTTCTTTCATTCTTTAGCTGCCCCGTCAGCATTGGATAATGATGTGTGTGGGAAGGTTTTGGGTAAAACAGTCAATTACTCTTTAACTGACCCCCTCACAGCTTAAATGATCACTTCTTTTGGATTCTTCTCTGTGTGGTAGTAAGAATAGTAGAATAGCAAAATAGAACATTGCAGAGATGACTATTATTCTAATAATGATTATTACTAAATTATAACTTAGGGTCAGGAAATCCTTGCTATGTGCTCAGTACTACCTCTTTTATTGTACTGTACCTAATTATTACTGAGGAGCTAATTAGTATTATCATAATTATCATTAAATCGTAACTAAGATTTGCCAAATTCCTGCTGTATGCTTAATACTGTTCCAGTTGCTTTACATGCATTAACTGACTCATTTGTCTGGATAATACCTAGCAGAAATGGGTAGTTTTGTTAGCCCCATTTTCCAGATGTGAAAACTTAGCACAGAGGTTAACTTGCCCAGTGTTACACAGCCTAAGTAATGGGAGTTGTGCAGTGCCTTATTAACTAATTAATTAATTGTACAGTGCCTTATTCAACTTCTGTCTGACTTCACACTGGAGTGAATCCAGGTTCCTCCGGTTACTAACTGTGTGGCTCTAGGCGAGTTAGATACATTCTAAACCCCACATTCTGATCTGAATGGATTGATCATAGAATCAACAGCCTAGGGTTGCTGTGACAATTGAATGAAATTGTGACCAACAGTTACAAAGCTTTACTCATGTGCTGGGACCTGCCTAAACACTTTCTATGAACCAGTATTATCATTGTTGTTATTTTGTGATTACCATTACTGTTATGAATTCAATCCATAGCCTTTGTTTCTCTGTGTTCATGGATTCTTTGAGAAGTCTAAAAGGCCCTCTGATTCACACACACAAAAAAAGAGAGAGAGAGAGAGAGAGAGAGAGAAAAACCCTTAATTTCAGTGTGATTTTCATATCCTCATTTTTTGCAAATTTCTTTAAAACATTTTTTCAAAATCTGAAAATCTAAACAGAAAGTAAAACTTTGCATAATCTCACCACTATAGAAACACAAAGTGAGAAGTGAGATCTCTGCTCACTCTTTCAATTTTCTCTGCCTGTTAACCCAACACCACCACCGTCCAGCCATCCAACCATCCAACCATCCAACCATCCAACCATCCAACCATCCAACCATCCATCCATCCATCCAACCATCCATCCATCCAGTCATCTTTCTATCATCCATCCATCCATCCATCTGGTCATCTTTCTGTCATCCATCCATCCATCCATCCGGTCATCTTTCTATCATCCATCCATCCATCCATCCCATCATCCATTATCCATCCATCCATCCAGCTGTCCATCCATCCATACAATCATCCATCCATAATCCATCCATCATCCATCCTTTCACTCCACAAACATTTTTTGAGTCCCTCTTCTATGCCAATAGCGATTTTATGTGCTAGTGATATAATGGTGAATAAGACAGAGAAAAATTCTTGCCCTCATGGAGCCTACATTCTATTGAAAAGAGAGAAAGAATAAAAGGAAGCAAGTAAGAATTCAGATGGTAATCAGTGCTACAAAGTCAGTAACCAGGACAGTGAGACTGAGAGTGACGGGGGATGGAAGTATGGCTTGGACTCTATCCAGAGGATCCAGGAGGGCTGTCTGGGGAAGACCTGAGGAATGAAAGGAGGTAGCTCCATGAAGAACCGACAGGAGAATTTTCCAGAGGGAGGAAACAGCAAGTGAAGTGTTTTCAAGGGTCAGAATGAAGATCTGGAGTAGCTGCAATGTGGTTGGCTGGTGAGGGAGTGGAAAGCTGTGACGTTGGAGAGGTGGGTAAGAGGCAGATCTCATAGGGCCTTGCAGGCTACCATGATGAGTTGGGGTTTATTGACTTGCAAAAGGAAGTCCCTGGGGGGCTACAAGCCTGGAGGCTCTACATACTGATTTTTACTCTATCCTGATTGAAAGTTCTAATCCACACATAGTAACTCTCAGTGAAGTCACTCCTTGGATAGCCAGAACACCTGTCTCTAAGTGAACTGGGAAAAATGGAGATTTGTGTTACTTTTTGAGCCTGAACACAGACAACACCTTTAAGTAACTCTTGGAATGTATGTTTAGCTCTTTATTGACAGACTCTTCCATTTCTTAGTTCTCTTGGGATCTATCCCAAACTGGCAGGCTAGCGTTGCTATTGGAAACCAATAGCAGTGTGGGATAGAACCAGAGCGCCTTTATGGCAAGACTGAGAAAGTCCCTCAACTAATCTCCACCTAAGTGTCTGATCCACCCTCTGTCCTGTGACTCAAAGTCCTGAATTAATTACTTTAATGCGTGAAGACTAAAGGTCTTGAATCAGTTGCAGCTAACATAAGTGGTTTCCAAAGGCTTACCAAGTGATATCTGCATTTCATCAGTTGTAGAGCAGATTTTATCCCTTCAAACACTGGTTTCCAAACACATCAGGAATTACCTGGGAAACTTGTTTAAAATATAAATGCCCCCTAGGTCAGCTCCAGGAAAATTCTAACTCAGTAGATATGTGGTGGGTCTGGGGAATCCACGTTGTTACCAAGCAGGCCAGGTTGATTCTGAAGCTGGTGTCTATGAATGCACAGAGACACTGAGGTCTGGGTATGTTAAATTCTGTGTATGAGTTTTTGTTGGTAGAGTGGAGAGCAGTCTTGGGAAAGGCAACTTGGTGGGAGGGAACCTGAAGATGACAAGCACAGAGGTACCGAGTGGATGGAAGCAAGAATGGATGATGCAACAGGAAGAAAAAGACTTGACAGGCCAGTCCTCGATTAATCAGTGGCTTTGACCACAGTGCCCAGAGCTGCAGATACAAGTAGCCTAAGGACAGTCTAGAAGGTATTCTCTCTCCCTGCCCTGCAGTCATGCTCTTCTAATTTAGAAATGGGTGCAGTGATTCCTGGGTACCATTTGGCTTCAGGAGCTTACTGGAACCCTCTCTTCATGCACTTTGGCTTATGGCTTCGATTGTTTGCTTCAACTCAGAAACTTTGCATGGTAACCTTGAATCTTGGGCGTTTGTCCTTTTCGTTTCCGTGGAGTGTCATTTTCAATGAGATAATTATATAGAAACCCAGGAGCTCAGAAGCTCCAGTTCCTGAGAGGAAGCATAAGCTACTCATTTTGAAAACAGGTTCAGGGAAGTAATGGCCCTAAAAGGCACCATGGACAATAAAGGCTCTTTCCTTGTCTGAATTAATGCTCATTCTCGTTCTGGAGACCAAGATGTTTGGGTTAACTAAGGTCCCTGCTTGCCATGTTTATTTACCCTGACACTCTACCTTCTGGCCTTTGAGTAACACTCTCCACTGACAGTGGAAACTCATATTTCTCCCAGCAAGCTGAGTGTCCTGGAGGTAACATGTTTCCTCTCTCTGATTCATTTGGCTCTGGCTCAAATGGGTTCTCCAGGGGGACTGGATAGCTGGTCTTGCTTGGCAAAGAGCCTTGAAAATACTTTTTCTCCATTCTGCAAGTTGCGTTTCCAGAAGAGCAGGAAAATTGAATGGCGCCCAGAACAGCTCATAGTTGTGTTTTTCTGGACATCTTTAAGGGTGGTTGGTACTTGGAAAAGAATTGATCTCTTGGCTTATGAAGATAAATGCTTGTTGGCTTTATGGGAAGGTGTATTATACTCATTGCTTACAACCTCCTGCCACAAAGACTTGGCCCCTGAGACAACCCCACTGATCTAGGAGATGTGACCATGGGCACACCAGGAGAGTGTAAAATGGTGAGAAAGCCAAGGGTTTAAGGACATAGCTCCCTAATGCCTGTGGAAACAGCCCTCAGACATTGCCAACCTTCAAAGACATGGAGGCTACAGGCTGGATACTCATCAGGGAAGAGAGTTATTCTAAGGTTTTCACTAAGTCTTATCATTTACAAATCAGCTCTTTCAGAAGGTTCCTCTTGACAAAGTATTTTGCTCATAAAAACATCTGCCATTGGGTGACGGTAGTCTATGAGCTGGTTTAGAAAGCCACATTAACTCAGACTTGGCTCTTTAAGCATGGTGGGGGAGAGGACATGGTGTACATGTGTGACCACAGGATTCCTTCGTCAGCAGTCAGAATGGTGCTGACAGGGACGGGCGTGGGACTTTGACAGTGCATACATATGCATGCTCAAAAATGCAATCCTTGCAGCAATCCCATGAAGTTGGAGTTAGCCTAAGCCTCGACTTGCACATCTATAAAACGGGATTAAGTCACTACAGGGTCATGTAGCTGTTAAGTGGCTGGACAAGCTCCATGTCTTATGTAATTGTGTATATAACTCTCCTCTACCCACCTCTTTTTTTTTTTTAAGATTTTATTTATTTATTTGACAGAGATGGGGAGAGAGAGAGAGAGAGAGAGAGAGAACAAACACAAGCAGGGGGAGCTGTAGGCAGAAGGAGAGGGAAAAGCAGGCTCCCGGCTGAGCAGGGAGCCCAACGCAGGGCTCAATCCCAGGACCCTGGGATCAGGACCTGAGCCAAAGGCAGACGCTTAACCGACTGAGCCACCCAGGAACCTCTACCCACATCTTTTCTTTACCCGGGAAAGGGCTTGCTTGCTTCAGGCACAATTGCAAAAAACAAAAACAAACAGACAAAAAACAACCAGCAAATCTGGCTTAGGTGTCTGTCTCCCTTTGCTGACTCCCTTACCCCAGCTGGGGGCCTTATTTTGGGACTTCATTTCCCCCAGTCTTTTTCTCAAATAAGTTCATAATTCTTACTAAGGTATCAACTTCCCCACAAACGTTTTCATTTCAGTCGGAAGGTGTCGCAGGCTGAACAAGTTTATGCTCCAACACTACCAGATGGGGCAATAAAAAAAGGATGTTGCCCAACATGGGAAAAACACACTCAAGAGGAGAGAGAGCACAATTAGTGCCCTCACGAGCGAGGACAGCAGTAAACCGTTTCCAAAGTCCCGATCAAACAATAACAAGATGGAAGCATGAAAGGAGTTTACGTAGAATAAATCGGTATATGGGAAACTGTCGGCCTATGTATAAAGAGCTCCGATTGCTCATTAAAGGAAAGTGGTTTGGGGCGCCTGGGTGGCTCAGTCGTTAAGCGTCTGCCTTCAGCTCAGGTCATGATCCCAGGGTCCTGGGATCGAGCCCCGCATCGGGCTCCCTGCTCGGCGGGAAGCCTGCTTCTCCCTCTCCCATTCCCCCTGCTTGTGTTCCCTCTCTCGCTGTGTCTCTGTCTGTCAAATAAATAAATCTTTAAAAAAAAAAAAAAAGGAAAGTGGTTTGGCTGGGTAAGGGGAAAACAACCCTTGGACAGTCACAGGTGCTGAGACTGTTCTCCTACTTCCTTGCTTTGTGGTCTTGGACTGGTCTTAACTTTTCTGAACCTCAATTTCCTCATTTGCCAAATAAGAATAATGATACCTTGATTTCAGGGTTGTGGTAAAAATGAAATGAGGTGATGTATGCAGAGGTCTTACTGTATTGCCTGAGACACAGGGCAGGGTAGCCAGCATTCCTGGTAGAGTAAGTACGGAAAGAAATTCTTTCAGACGTAGAAGTAATAAAACCACATCTCTCTAAATGGACTCTCTGGCTCAGAGGGTTTTCTTGTTTTGGTAGGTCTCTCTCTGTCTCTCTTTGTCTCTGTCTCTGTCTCTGTCTCTCTCATATTTTAATAAATTTCCTATTGTCTAAGGCAAAAACAAAGCAAATTCACCAACACCAGCTTATAGCTGCATGAAACGCTAATGAGCTTTCTGGGAAGCTCAAAATGGATTCCCAGTTTTCAAGGATGGAGTTGGGGGGAACAGGGAAGCCAAACAAGATTCTTGAAGCATCTGTGCCTCTCAAGCTTGGTGCTTACTTGGGAGATGGTAAAGCAAGTGTCTGCTATTCCTGAAAATCACCTGAGCAACAGGGCTCACCTTTGGATTTTTCATCAGAGCAGAGGCCCCCAGATCCACTGAACAGATTTCAGATTGTGCGGTTAGTCTGAAGTGAAGAACAGCTGTCAAATCTCGAGGACTTCCTCCAGCAAAACTCTTGGTACAGAAATGCGAAGGGTTTTCCTCAGGTTGTGGTACATGTAAGGCCCAGATATAAGTTGTGAATTCTATAAGGATCTCTTCAATGTTTTTTTGTTTTTGTTTTTCTTTTATGTTTTTCAGGTACTCTCCCCTGGGTATCGCCTGCCTAATTTGTGGAAAGATCATTGCAATCAAGGACTTAGAAGTGGTTGCTAGGCAACTGGGGATGTACATGATCACGGTGATTGTGGGCCTCATCATCCATGGGGGCATCTTTCTCCCCTTGATTTACTTTGTAGTCACCAGGAAAAACCCTTTCTCCTTTTTTGCTGGCATTTTCCAAGCTTGGATCACTGCCCTGGGTACTGCTTCCAGGTAGAGAATACAAGAAATCACCTTTCTTTCTCTCTGCTCATTCCTTTCCCCTCTCTGCCACTTCCTCTTTGCAAAACCCTTTCACCATAAAGTTCAATGAGAATGTTTTTCATGTATTATTAAAGTATTTCTGAAAAAGGTAAATGCTTTGGATTTTTGGCTCCTAGGAACTTAAGAGCTTTCTGATGAACATGTTTGCTGATAGGTAACGGTCCTGGAAATACCTCATATTAAATTTCCCAGACGAGGGGCGCCTGGGTGACTCGGTTGGTTAAGCGGCCGCCTTTGGCTCGGGTCGTGATCCTGGGGTCCTGGGATCGAGCCCCACATCTGGCTCCCTGCTCGGCGGACAGCCTGCTTCTCCCTCTCCCTCTGCCTGCCACTCTGCCTACTTGTGCTGTCTCTCTATCTCTCTGTCAAATAAATAAATAAAATCTTAAAAAGAAAAATTTCCCAGATGAAAGCATGCTGTTAATCTGCATGCCTAATTCACCATATCTAGCATTCGTTTCATTTTAAAATGTTTCCCAAAAAGATATGACAGGATGGTAAGCTATTTAAGAAATTCTCCCACCTGTGATTTGAAAAATGCTATCACAAAATACCGCTCTGTTGGAGTTGTTTTTCAAAAGTAGAAAAAGTGAGATTTTTCATGGTAAATGTGTTAGGTCAGATTAAAAAAAAAAAAAACAAAAAAACCAGAAGTCAGTCAAGTCTGTGACCTCTGCATGAACCTCTAGTGGACCATTTTGCCCCATTGATTTTGAGAAAATCAGGTTGGCACTGATTCAACTTGACATTGACTGAGAGTCCGTTCCTTCTTCATTAACTAAGTTGCCAGGCATCTGAAGCCAATGAGGACTGAAGAGATACGCAGAGGGGGGAAAATTTTTTTTTGTGGATATCTTCTTGGACTGAATTTAGCAAAAACAAACAAACAAAAACAAGTACATAAGAAACACGTGGCAATTCAGAATTTCAAAGATTAAAAGAGTTTTATTGTTTCAGCCTGCCCTAGTCATTGGTATTTCTGCATAAAACTAAGGGTCATGAAACTAAGACCAAGGTCATGAAGCAGATGGCGGGAAGGCGAGCAAACTCTGCAGCCCCTAGCTCAGCATCGTCTCTGGAATCATAGGTAGCGGGTCCTTGTTGTTGAGCCTGTGACCATGCTTTGTGAGTGAGGTGCCCACCCTGTGACACAGCAAGACAGCGGTCCCAAGGCTACTGAGCAGGCAGTCAGCTTTTCCTTAAGTGACCCAACAGGCCAATAGGGGTGACCACCTGAGAAACCAAATTTGTATTTCCATCTTGCACATCAATGAGATTTTGGTACTAGTAGAATATGGGATTTCAGAAGATGCTAAAAATATATATAATCCCGGGGATCTAGACCCTGCGTTTAGTTTCCCAAGATGAAAGGAAACACCCCGAAATTTCCTTTTTCCTTCTTGGTCTTACAGATTTCATATGGTTAAGTATCTCTATCCATAAAGATCCCCCTCTCTTTGGAGAAAAAGTAAATCTTTTTTTCCCCCCAAAACAATCATGTTTAGTTTTATATTTGTTTTCTGGTTATGAGCGTGGTGTTTGCCCATTGTGAAAAAATTCAGACAGTGAATAAAGTTTCGAAGAAGAAAATGAACATCACCAGTTCTTCTGTTGCCCAGGGACAATTAGTAGTAATCCTTTTAGTTAATAGTTCTATATTTTTCCAATGTGTACTATGTATAGATGTTGTAAACTGCTATTTTTCATTGGTCAACATATTATAAAAGTTCTGCCAATTTATATCTTCCTACTGTTTTTAAATGGCATAATAATACACTGTGGGTGCTACAGTACAACCCCACCTCCACCCTGTGATGTACGTATAAAGCGTGTTTACTAAGTAGGACTGTGACAAGCATCCTTATAAATACATCTGTACAGGCTTGTCCAATGATCCCCTCAGGATAAATTTATAGAAGTGGAATTTCTGAGTCCAATGGTAAGCACACTAACTGTGTGAAAACATACCACCAGCTTGCTGCTCAGAAAAGTCCTTTAGTTTATGTCCCCACTAACTGGGTGTGCGAGGCTGCCTTTTCCCACCTACTCACCAGCACTGGATATTATCAGTCACTTTAATACTTTCCAATCTTATTGTTGAAAAATGATCTCCTTGATTTTGCATTTCTTTAATTACTAGTGAGGGGAAACATCTCTTTGCCGCCTTTTTTTTTTTTTAAGACTTTATTTATTTATTTGACAGAGAGAGACAGAAGAGCACAAGCAGAGGGAATGGCAGAGGGAGAGGGAGAAGCAGGCTCTGCACTGAGCAGGGAGTCCGATGGGGGCCTTGATCCCAGGACCCTGTGATCATGACCTGAGCCGAAGGCAGATACTTAACCATCTGAGCCACCCAGGCATCCTCTCTTTGCCTTCTTATTGACCATCCTCCCCTCCTCTCCCCAACCCTGTGAATTGTTTGTGATGGTCATTTCCTGTTGGGTAATTTGCCCATTCCTGATTGTCTTTAACTCTCTTCATGTATAAAAATATTAACTCATGTGTCCCATGTTGTGAATGATGTTCCTTTCCACTTGACACTTATCTTGAAAATTTGCATTGCTTTTTGTCCCTAGATGTTTTTAATTTGCGTATCATCAAAGTTGTCAGCATTTTCATTTAGTATTTGGAATTTTGATTTTTTTCTCAGGAACATCACCACCAAAAATGATAAAATATTACTTTCATTTTCTTCCAATACCTTTGTGGTTTTGATCTTTAAATCTTCCAAAAATATTATTATCTTTCCTTTGAATGTCTAGACAGTTATCCTAGTACCTTTAATTAGACAAGGTAGATCCCAAAGGCATATGGATGGCCCAAGTTCATATTTAAATCAGACAAATGCTTGGGTTGTCTGGCCAAGATAACCCAAATGCTAGACCCATTTTTCCTCCTCACCCTGTATTTCAAGCGACTTTAGTCGTCGGTTAAACTGTGGCTTTTGCCGGGATGTGGAATTTCATTTTTTAAAAGAAAACACACTTAAGGAAAAATTTGTGGCATGAGTCACATACTAAGAACTAACTCTGCCATTATGACCAGAGGGAAAAAACACAAAGCCCCAGTACAGCCAGCTAACTATTCTTTCTACCTCCTTGGACCCCAACTGAAGGGGGAGTGGAAGGGACTGACTCCCTTTTCTCAACAGGCTGGTGTCAGGGAGGATTGATGGAAGGGGCTAGCCTGGGACACACCTCTCTGCATCCTGCTGACATCAGTCCATGCTGTTGAAACTACTCTGGAAAAAGACAAAAAGAAGACTGTCAAGTATCTGCTAGTTATTATGCAATATTTGAAAACTGTCATTAGGTCGCTGAGGCAGGAGCCAAAGAAACAATGTCAGAATGTTGGATGGGCAGGAAAGAGTTAAAATTCTTAAGTCCCAGGTTGGATTGGTTGGGTATCTATGATTTTGAGAATATTTTCATGATTTACCAATTATTTTCTCCAGTCTATTTAATTGTCCGAAGACCTCTTGATGACATTGTGGGAAAAGTGGATGCAATAATAAAAATCAACATATTCCAGTCCTCCCAGAAGTGTGCTCAGATTCATACCATTTAGAATCCCGGCCACCAACCACAGCTGCCATTTCAGACAAGTTACGGCATCCTGCCAACCCTTCAAAGGGGTCCAAAGAAAGGGTAGCGTGGGGGAGTCTCATTAAAACATCTGGTACAGCCAACCAGGTACAAGGTACAAGAGGTCTCCAAACATTCATTTCCTCTACCTAAGACCAAGGAAGAGGCATGAGACCCCTGACCTGAAATCACAAAGAATGTTCCCGTAAGATGACTCTGGCTTCCCTAAGGTTATTATTAGGAACCTATGGGTCAGTGATTTAAGAAGATGCAGAACTTAGGTGACCCTAAGTTTAGAGCTTCTGGTTTCTGTTTCTGAGTAGGCCCTGGAATCTGCATCCTCAGTAGCTTCTCTGAAGCTGATGGCTCTCTCCCACTCTCTGAGAAACTGAGACCTCTGGCAAGTGTCTATGTTAAGCTTGGCGGGAGCCCTAATTCTGACTAGTAGAAGGAGGGAACCATTACTAAGGCTGTCAACACATGATAGAAAAAAGTATGTCTGCACCCAATTCACTTTGCTAAGGTTTGAACAGAAAAAAGCCCCCAAAAGCAAAACACAAAACAAAACATTCAAACCCCAAAGAGAATGGATCACAAAGCACTCACATGGCAGTTTGGGTGTTCTACATTTCTTTCCATATTACTTAAATTTTGAAGCCAATCCACTTACTCTCTCATGAGCCTCTCTCCACATGGAAATAATATTTTGGCTGTCAGCAACACTTATCCTTACAGGTCTTCTAATTTAGAAGACACACGAACATGTCAGGGGTTCTGGCCTTCGAGGCTGGGTCATGTGGTCATGAATTCCTGTCCCAGACTTGGGATGAGTTGGGGTGGAGTCACTCTATCCATATTGGGTCTTTGATTAGCTACAGAGCACGTGCTTTTTGCTCTATGTTGTTGCAAAGACAGTACAGTTGGCCAGTGACCATGTATCAGGGAGTTAGACTGTCTGTGAGGGTCCCTAGTGAATTGCTAGAAGCTCAGGTTCAGGCTAAATGGTGTTTAACATGTTTGTCCAGCATTCTCAAAATTAGCTCAGGGCAATTCCCAGAAACTGGATGCAGCCCCTGTAGTCATCTTGTTGGAAAGTGTTTCTAGCATGAAATTATGGGTCATTCAAAAATTCCCCATTCCATTTCACTGTTGACAGCTCATTGTTTTCTGACACTTTTTTTTTTTTGCAGCTCAATTAATGTGGGCAATCAAATGGTCTTTAATATTTAATGCAAGAGGGAAACACTGATCAAAGGAAAAAGGATTTAAAGCTCTAAGTAGATCTCAAAAACCAGAGCCAACAAAAAGAGTTTGCTGCCTATGAGCATCTTAATAAGATTGAACTTGAAACTCCAAACAGCTGGTCTTTAATTTGGCTCCAGACACTGCTTTTTGCATGTCACATTGCTTGATTGGAACAAAAGAACAAACACTTTGTGGTGGCATTTCGGTTTGTGTTTTGTCCTGCTTCTCTAAAGTGGACATAAACTCTTGTCTCTCTTTCTCTCTTGGTTCCCTAGTGCCGGAACTTTGCCTGTTACCTTCCGTTGCCTGGAAGAAAATCTGGGAATCGATAAGCGCGTGACCAGATTTGTCCTCCCGGTTGGAGCAACCATCAACATGGACGGTACAGCCCTTTATGAAGCGGTGGCCGCCATCTTTATTGCCCAGATGAACGGTGTTATCCTGGATGGAGGCCAGATTGTGACTGTGAGGTGAGTGGAGTGTGGATTGGGGAGGCACTGAAATGGCCTTTTGCCCTACCCCCTTCCACACTAACTCCATTTGATGGGGCCACTTGAATTTCAGGTCCCCTGGTGGAAGAATGATGAAGAAAATAACACAGAAGAGGAGTTATTGGCAGTCTCAAGGGGAAAATATTGTGACAGGAAAGAAGCAGGCTCATACTTAGGCCTGCTGTTTGTATTGCACATGTGAAATTGCTTTGGAAATTTGGTATTATTTGATTTTTAACAATCCCGTGATGTTGCAAGGCAGTTATTTCTATGCCCATTTAATAGATGAGGAGGCACAGGCTTCCAGGGGCAGGGTAGTTTGTGCAAGGCTGCCGTGTTAATGAGCCAGGAGGGTTGTAGCTGGGGCTGACAGCGGCTGACTCTGGATCCACTTTTCCTTTCATTAAAATATGTTCCCTTCAGCATTTCAGAGGGTCATGGCAGAAATGATGAAATACTGGAAGGAAGAGATTTCTCAATACAACACAAACCATTTTATTACAACGAAATCACAAATATAGATCCATACGTTTTACTAAACCTATTTTTGCCATATGTATTCATCCTTTAAGAAATTTAGGAAGAATGCTTTCCCAAGAGATCATTAAAAATACATTGTTTCTCCATAAACTTAAAGATCATACTTACTTGCTTATACTAATTTATCGAATCCTTACAACCACCCCGTGAGGTATGTACTTGTCTTAGCTCAGGCTGCCGTAACAGAATACCACAGACCAGGGGTATTGATTTCTCACAGTTCTGGACGCTGGGAAGTGCGAGATGAACGTGCTGGCAAATTCAGTTCCTAGTGACTGTCCTCTTCCTGGCTAGTGTTCCCCTTCTTGCTGTTTGCTCGCCTGGCCTTTTCTTCGGTGTGTGCAGAGAGAGTGAACAAGCTCTTGAAGGTCTCCTCTGATAAGAGGACTAATCCCATCATGAGGCCACCACACTCATGGTGTACTTACCTGCCCACCCCCGCACCGACCCCCTGAAGGCCCTGCCTCCAAACACCATCACATTGGAGATTAGGGCTTCAACAAATGAATTTGATAGGGAGGATACAACTCAGTCCATAGCTGTGCTATAGGGGAGCCTCAGTTTCCTCACTGGTACACTGGGGACATTCTAGGGGGTTGGGAGTATTGTACCTGGGACATAATCACCTGTCAACAAATGTTAGCTACTAGTAGTATTGCTATTAGTGATGCTCAATAAAATTCAGTACTTCTAGAATATGAGGGAAAAATGTGACAGTGATGTAGTGAGTGCCATGATGTCACCCAGGGGAAAACATGCTTCGGACCCTGGGTATCCCACCTTCTAAGTCACATCGTCAGGGAATGCATGTGAGACTACCAACCTCTTTTGCTTTAAAACTCAGAGATGGACGAAAGATGAAACCCCTTCTTTTGAAGCCAAGGAAGGTGATTTCTGGTCCCTGAATTCTTGGCCTCGATGGTAACCCCACTTCCCATTGAGTTCACACCATTAGATGAAAACTTAAGAGACGAGAGGATGGACCGGGGACCCATGATCGGGATTGATTAATTCAGTGTTGGAGGGATCAGGGGCGGGGAGCATCAGGCCCGCAGAGCATCGCAATCACACAGATGACTATTCTGATCCCAGCAGACAACGGCCGAGCTGTTTGACCCTAAGTTTCTCCATCTGTCCAACTCGTGATTTCCCCCATGGAAAGCAGATACAACCGCATGTACCTTGCAGGGTTACTGTGAGGCTCTGCCGTGACAATGTGTGTGTAATACTCTGTACGGCATCCCAGAAGCAGGCTAGAGAAGTGAGCCAGGGAGCGGAAGGATGGGAAAAGTGGAAAGGGATGGAGAGAGGGAGAGGCGATCATTGCCCCGAGAAGCTGTTACAGGACTCACCCGGACCCTCCGCCCGTGGCAGGGTGAGGCTATAAATTGGGATGAAGGAAGAGTGGGAGGACCAACTGCTAAGAAGAACTCTCTTGATAGGCTTTTGTCTCACACAGCCCAGGGGGGACCAGACCATGTGGCCACAGTGCAAAGGGATGTGTAAGAATGACTCATAACAGAAGCAACTGATGTTGTAAATAAAACGGCTGAGGCCATGACCGTTGGAACTTGGGAAGTTCCCCTTTCCTGGTGCTCTATCCATGTCAGGGAAATGGCTGAGAATTCCCACCTTCCAACCCTTGGGGCTTTAGGGAAGTTTTTCTTGCAAAGCAGCCTAATCCTGCCCAGATTTCCTGATAAGAATAACAATTCACATTTACTGGGGGGTTGCAAGGTGCCAGGTCTCTTCTGTGTGCTTTTTATTTATTAGCTCCGGATGACCCTTTCTTAAAGATAAGGAAATCATGGCACAAAGAGGTTAAGTAAGTTGCTCAAAGTCATGTGGTTAATAAGCGACAGAGCTGGGATTCTAAACCAGGTTGTTCCATTCCATAATCTTCACTGATACCCACTATGTACTATCACCTCCTATGACCCAGAAGGATCCAAGAAAAATGGAGTTCTTTAAGCCTTAACACCAGCTTTACGTTGATGGGGGCAGGGGAATAGTGCAGATGGGTTTTGTCAATCCCACCTAGGCGAGGTGTCCAGATGGTGACAGGTCTGTATGTGGAAGGATGGCAGTATGGAAAGACCAGTGCAAACTATAGAACCTCGTAGGGACTTCCTGTCTTCATACATAAGATTAGGTAAATTCAGGTCCCTCCAGATGGTAAGACCCAGGATTCTGTGCTTGGTCACAACAACGATCTGGGCTCAGTTAAACCAGTTTGGGAGCCCTCTGCTGGACCGCAGAGACCCCCTGGTGTCTAGACAGGGCACTTGAACCCTAGATTAAACCCTCTTCCAGAGACAACTTCAAAATGGTGTTGGGTGTGCCCTTGGCATTGCAAATGATGAGAGGCTTCAGAAAGAAAACCTCCTGTTATTTCATTATCTTTCCCTGGCGCCTTCTTTCTGAATAATGTATTTTCCAGTCCATGGTGAAATGTCCAGGCGTCTGAAGCTTAATGTCATTTGGAATCTGTTGATTTGTTCCCCTGATGTCCACTCAATCGGGTCTGGATATTTGCTATTCTGAGTTCTCATGTTAACATTGGCAGTGGCTTCCTCAGACTCTTGCCACGGAGTCCAGATGTCTCTGGGGCTCACAGAGACATAAAAGCGTAAGCAGAAATGAATGCAGTGGTATTCCCATGGGAGGATTAGGGTGATTTGTTTTCCTTCTTTATTATTTCCTTGCCTGCTTGAGAGCCACACTTACCTTCGTTGAGCCCTGTGATATATTAGGCTAATTGGCTCTCCTGCTGAGGCTAAGGCTCTAATCCACGAATTTATAAACTTCCACCGCAGTTGAGTAGAATCCAAAGAGACCCTAATTCCTGGGTCTCTTCACTCTGGATTTCTCTGTTCTTTGAGAAACAAAAGAAATTTTATGACTGCTGGGAAAATTGAAGCTTACAGTTGCCTGCCAGGGATGGTTTTGCCAAGTCCTCTTTCTCTTCCCCTGACCTGGTCTTCTCTGTTCGCTCAGCCTCACGGCCACGCTGGCGAGCGTGGGTGCAGCCAGTATCCCCAGTGCGGGCCTCGTCACCATGCTCCTCATCCTGACGGCTGTGGGCCTGCCGACGGAGGACATCAGCCTGCTGGTGGCCGTGGACTGGCTGCTGTAAGTGCTTGCCCAGGGGGCTCTGCTGGGGACGTGAGTCCTGCCTCCCTGGGCTGGACAAGATGCAAGGTTGCAGCCCAGGTCTTCGCAAATCCCCATGACAACTTCTTCCCTCCCTCCCTCCTTCTCTCTAACATTTACTGAGTGCCTCATTGGGAACCGAAGGCAAAAAAGGCATCCCGAGGACCTCCCAGTCTAGTGGAGGCATCAGATAAATTACAAAACAAAGTTAAAAGCATAGCAATAAGGAACCCACTGCTGATGCATGTGGGGGAATCTCAGGACATTATGCTGAATGAACGAAGCACAAAGGAGTGTGCGTGGTATGATCCCGTTTATATGAAGCTGCAGGAAAAGGCAATATAATCTTAGCAACAGAAAGAGATCAGTGGTTGCTTGGGCCTGGATGGGTGAAAAGACTCATTGGGAAGGGGCACAAGGAAATCGTTAGGGGTGGTAGAAATGTTTCATAGGCACAGGTATGCACAGGTATCTACATTGTCAAAACTCATCAAACCATGCACTTATCACGGGTACATTTTATTGTATGTTTATTATACTAGACTAAAAAATATCTTGCATAGGGGCACCTGGGTGGCACAGTCAGGTGAGTGGCTGACACTTGGCTCACATCATGATCTCAGGGTCCTGGGATCGAGGCCCATGTCAGGCTCTGTGCTCAGTGGGGAGTTTGCTTGAGATTCTCTCTCCCTCTCTCTCTGCCTCTCCAGCTACTCACTCATGCCTGGGCTCTCTTTCTCTCTCTCTCTTGCTCTTGCTCTAAAATAAATAAATCTTAAAAAAAAATGTAGCATGCACATAAAAGATAGTGATGGAAAGAGGCACCCGTCCCAGTCTAGGATAGAAGGGCGGAATGGAGGAATCAGGCAATAATGAACATGGCAACTGAATTTGCATGGGCACCATGTGCCAGCCACTGCACCAAGCATTTTACATCTTCCCCTTTCTAACAACCCTGAAGGTTTGGTATTATTGCTTTTGGTGTATAGATGAGGAAACTGAGGTGACTTGAGAGTGAAGAGAGATTTGACTCCAGTTTGGCTTGGTTTGGGAGGCGACTGCATTCTTCATCAGGGCCATATTCAAGCTTCTGAAGGCAGTGATTGCTGAGCTGAATCATAACCAGTAGGTAGACGTAGGTGGAAGGGGAAACAGGGCATTCCAGGCAGGACAAGGCCCGCCTGTGCAAAGGCACTGAGGCAGCAAACAGTGTGGGATTTAGTAATACTGGAGCACAGAGTGGGAGGCAGGGACTGGTGAAAAGTGGGACAAAAGGGATAGCCTGCACGGCCATGCGGAGAAGTTTGAACTTGACTGTGTCCACATAGCCCAGCTACCTTTCCCAGTATATTTACCAGTGAAGGGCATTTTCATAATGTAGGACACTTGCCCATTCACAGGGCAAGTCTAGCCAGATGGTCCCCGGTAGCGAGATGGGAATCGATCCTTGCTAAGGGCCCACTCGGTCTCTGATATTCTGTGGGGTATACACTGATGCCTCCTGTCCAGTCTTGGAGCTAAGCAATAGGGGCTAGGAGATGCTATTGGGTTCAATGTCAGGGGCACAGAGGTCCAAGGCCAAAGTGCCCGCACATTTTTTAAAACTGCTCCACATGGCAGTGGCAATATTTCTGACATCTATCATCATAGATTTTAAGAGCCAGAAGCCATCTTTAATGCCCTTGAGTTTCCTGCATCTAAAACAACAGTTCCTTCCCCTTACCTTCACCCTTCCAAAGGGAGAAACATGCACATGACTAAAGGGAAGGACATCTGGTGAGCTAGAAGGAAGACTGACCTCTCCACAGAGCTTGCCTGCTGTTAAGGTTTAGGTTAGAACATAGAAGTGGCTCCCCGGACATAATCTCTACTCCTCAGAAGGGCTACAGGGAAGGTCATGGATCTTCCTGACTGGCTCTTTCATCACCAGAGAAATGCTCCGAAAATACCTTTAGTGGGAAGGTGAAGGGTAAGCGAAATAGCCTCTTCTCTGTCTCTGCTAGTCTCTCTCAGGGGGTGGTGGTGGGTCCTCCATGCTAGCTCGGTTGTTCTGGGAGCCTGTGCTGGCCCCCAGGGCAGGCTTTCTCACGACGTCTGTTCCGACAAGGCAGTCATGGCGGCTGAGATTTGGCGGTGGTTTATGGGGGGAAGGATTGGGAGGGAATGGGATGAAGGAGACAAAGGAGTGGGGTGGGCTTTGGTGGGGAAGAGGACGAAAGGGAAATGAGGGCATTGGCAATAGTTCAAGGTCAGTAAGAGCTCGATACATGTGCGCTAAATTTCACCACAGGTTGCCGTATGATGACCAGGGGCCTTTCCACACAGGAAGAAAGACAGAGGAAGCTATTGAAATGAAATGTGCTTCCCCTGTGACTTTTGCTTCCTGAGTCCTCTGCCTCTTGGCTCCTTGAACCCCCCCCCAAAACGGTGTTATTGTGGAGCTACTCTTGTCTGTGTGTCTACATTACCTCGTCTCTTCTTGGGCTTGTTTCTGAGGCCTAAAATCCACCATTCGAGATCAAGCTTTTTTATAAATGATCATTATAGAGACAGCCTCCCTTCATGATCATGCAAATGCCTCTCTTTGAGTGAAAAAAAAATGCACTAATATCATTTGGAAATGAAAAAGGGAGCTGGTACTTGGTGGATACCGTCATGTTCTTTACATCTGGTAATGATTAATCCCCAAAGGGCCCTAAGGAGTGTTTCCCAGATGAGGAAACTGGGAATCAGAAAATTTAAGTGTCTTGCCTGTGGGCACAAGAGAGCTTGGGTGGTCAGGTCAGGATGCTTTACCCGACCCGACACAGCTTCCTACTTACAACCAAGCAGATCTAGCAGTGGGCAGAAGCTCAGTGAGAGGTGCTCAGTCAGAAAGGTTTTAGGGAAGACAGACCTATTAGGGTCACCCCTGGTTCTACAGACTAACCAGGGAATTTTCTGTTTGACCTGTTTTTTTCCTCCTCCAAGATTAAAACAAAACAACAGAAAAAGCCTAAATGGGGACAAATGGGGTACAATCAAGGTCTCCGCTACTCTGAGAATTCAAGCCCTCCAGCTCCAGTGGGTCAACCATTGTGGGCCCTGGGCTTCTTGGCAGTCATTTGCTTCCAAGCCTGTTGGATGAGAGTCATTTCGTGAAACATCCAAGACCCTGCCTACTTCTGACCTAAATGTTAGTGAATGGAATAGGAGGGCTGGGTCCTCCCCATCACCCCACACCAGCGCTCACATGTTCATATTTGCGCAGAGATCATGGTGTCCTAACTCCAGGGTGGGAACGTGCCAGCAGAAGGGAGTTGGCTGAACCCAAAGAGGGTGATACATTTGGATTAACTATATTGATGAAACTGTATGTGAGAAAACTCAATCCCAGGCTGGCCCTGGAAAGGAAGGAACAGATGAAGAGCTGTCCTCTGGTTCTGGGGTCGGATCTCAGGTGCGGGGGGCCCCGTGTGCCCAGAGAAAGGAAAGCAAACAGTCAGGAGCCCTGGATCTGAGCTCTGCACTTACTCTTTGTAGGACTTTGAGCAAGTTACTCTCTGGACTTCAGCTCTGTCATGTGAACACTGGGAATAATGACTTGTCAGCTTAAAAGCAGAGTCTAGACCCCATGCCCTTGAGTGCCCTACTGGTTTTAAGACTTGGACTAAGATTCTGCTGGTGATGGATGTTTGTATACAAATAAGCCTGAATGTTCCTTTTAAGAAGAGAAGAAAAAGGGAGGGTAGAGGATCCTGGGAAAATGTGCGTAGGGGTCTGTAGCTAGGTCAGATCTGCTTTGAATTAGTAATGGTGGCACATTCTTTCTCACCAGCAAGTGGAGCTCTGGAAACACGCTCTTGGTCATGGGCTCCGTGGCCATCGGGTACCCATCACAGTGTGAATGGGGTTAGGGGGAAGAGTTGACACAGAGGTGCAGGGGGAGTCTCGCCATTCCCTAGGAAAATATTCGGTTGGGGGAAAGCAGAGAAAAAGAAAAGGTGAGGGTTTTTTTGTTTTGTTTTGTTTTTTGTTTTTTTCCTCTCCAGGCAAAGCTTGTAAGCTCTCATAACTCTAGCAATTTTTCAATTTAAAATCAAACAAAGCCTGCAGTGACATTTAACGTGCCACAGTGTTTGCCAACTGCTGGAGACCAGCCAGCCTCATTACTGCCCGCCAAGCCCTGGATGCTTCTCAACGGGCAGGCTTGGCCACTCTGTAAATGTCATGGTGAAAACCAAGATTCTGGGCCCTGAAAAATGCCGGAGTCCTCGGACACCGGATGGGCGGGGCTGGTAAAACCAGAACCTTCCCCAGGGCCCAAGAAGCCCTTTGTGTCAGGAATTCTCGGCAGATATTTATGAGACCTCTCTGACACCCCTCTTTCTTGGAAGGAAGCAGGATGGAGTGAAAACAGGGAGCCAGTACCAGGAAGAGGTAATAAATAACCGGGTCTGGCCACAGGTGGCAAAAGGAAAGCCAAAATACAGTGAAACCCAAGTGGATCTGTGACCCATTTATTATATAAGACTGCTGGTAAGATCGTTTCTGGGGATACATTTACTAGCTGGGGGATAGAGCTGAAATGGGAACTTACTAGGAAGACTTTACGGCCTCCTTCCTGCGGGAGGAGCTCTGAAGCTCCCTGTTAGCCTCCCTCCTTGGAGGGAATAGAGCCCAGTGATTCTCAAGCTTGAGCATGCGCCAAAATCTCCTGGAGATTCAGTGGGTCTGGGATGGGGACCAAGAATTGACATTCACCAGTGATGCTGAGGATGCATGCCAGGAACCTCGCTTCCAGAAACCATGGATTAGAGATAGGGAAGGGGGAATAGGAGTCCCTGGTTGTGGGTATATCAGCACCTCGATTCTTTTTCAAGCAGGGCTTGAACTCACAACCCTGAGATCAAGACCTGAGCTGAAATCAAGAGTCGGATACTTAACTGACTGAGCCACCCAGGCGCCCCTCGGTTCTTTTCTGAACACCAGTTGGCAGT